CCAAACTTCAAATCAACACATTTTCCTTATTTTAAGCATTTCAATTGCAAAGGTTCTCTCCGACTGCCAACTGTAAAACAAAGGAAAACTACCCAGAAAGGCTTTCTGTTTCAGGGAAATGAAACACCCCATCAGTGGCTCTTAAGTAACTGCTCTTAATCCAAATTCAATGGAAGATGGCCTTGCTCACTTTTAATAACAGGTGAACTTCAAATTTCCTGATTTTTCTTTGAGTCTATAGAATTAGTAGATAGTAACTTGATGCTTTACTGCCCACACAATACCAACTTTCTTCCAAATTATGAGGTAGTTTAGAGTGATTCATCCTTAATTAAAAGAAAAGTAAGACATGGAAGCCCTTTTTATTAGATGAAGGATGCATAGGCAGAATTGATAGGGAAACCACTGGTGAGCTCATCTGAAATAACTGCTGGATGCTCACTGTTACTCTCTGATAAATAACGAGGCTCAATTCATATTTGATGAGGACCAGCTCTTTCTGGTTACCTTACTCTTATCACTGATCACAAATAAACATATAATTATTTTGTAGTGTATCTGTATGTGTTCATATTTTTACGTATCCACCCTCCCAGTTCGGGTGTTGTGTCCATTTTCGTCATGTCCTATCCAAAATTAACGGGGTCGCTCCAGCCCTTTCACCTTCCTGTTCCTGCTAAACTCCTCACTTCAATTTACCAAGCAAGAACTCCTTGATAAACTCACAATATTAACTACATTGTCTTGTATCTTCAACAGAATATAGGAATCCTTCTCTGGGTATCACAGTTGAGCCTATTGTGTTAGGATAAACAGGACTTGGAAAATAAGTGGGAACTGGATGCAGCTAAAGTTATGTTTGGAGTGTGCTTTAGCTATTGATTCCATACTTTTGGACAGTGTTCAAAGGCACATGGCTGCTACTTTGTATGACACTGCATATCTGTCTGGTTCAGAAGTTTAAGACTCTGGCAAATTTTCTGATAATACAGCTGATTTTATCTGTAGGGCTCTAAATCAAACCTGAACATGATAAGGAGCTGCCTTGGATAAGGGATTTTCTTAAATTCTGTTCAATCTAATCCTACAGGAAAAACTGTGGCAAATCTGCTAACATAAACAAGAACTTTAAAAAATGCAAGCTCACAGCCTAAATGGATAGTAGGTAAATGAGCTGATCAGTTTCTGAACAGCAGTAAACAGAACAGGTGGATATTTATTCAAGAATAGGAAATGAATATACAGATTTGTTTCATTGTAATTCTCTTGCTAACAAGAGTCAGACAGGAATGCTAGAAAAATAAAACAGCCCAAGAGTTAGAAGTCAGATTTTTTTTTTTATCCAAATAAGAAACATCATTAAAAGCAACTCTATTGAACAAAAGTAGCTCCCACAGAAAGGCAAGGCCATCAGCAAGAGCTAAATATATGTAAATGAGATTTACTTCACTGAGAGCAGTGTACTCTCAGCACCTCAGAGGATTCATTCCAATACAATACTGCAAGTGATTATGAAGCAAATATGCATTACCTTAAATAAACCAAAGCAAGAGACAAAGCAAATTATTTTGAAGTGCTTTTACTCTATAATTTCATTAAAGGAGGTTGTTTATCCTCAGAGGGGAACTAGAAATTGAATACTGAAATCTAAAATTACAAAAACGTATATCTGCTTATGGACCAAGGTCAAAGACAAAAGTTAGGAACAAGGCTATCATCTACACTATTAGAAATATTTTTAAAATATTTTGCAATTTTAGATACTAAATTTTTTTTTGCTTTTATCTATCTTCCTCACCATTTTTGCTTATTTTCTTCCCTGCAATCTTTTTTGGGTTTCCAGGGCTCCTCACTGAAGAACTGGTATCAGGGCTTTTTCCTTATTTTACTTTTCAAAACTCCATTGGAATCAGGAATTAAGTCTCACCTTGGAACATAGAGGGCCAAGTCAACAGACAGTCTAAACTGTCCTTGCCCTCTTAATATTAATGAGGAATTAGCTGATGTGTGCTAATTCCCGATTGCCAGGACTTAACTGGTAAAAATAATTTTGCTATCTGCATGGAGGGGATCTGATGGGAAAGTTCAAAGGAGAAAAAAGAGTGGAGGGGAAAAGGATTGGGAGAAAGAAAAGGGAAAATAACAGTGGGTTCTTTACTGAAATAATTTACAATTCAGGACTGTGACATTTTCTTACTTTTTGATCTGTTTTCCTATTTGCAGCAAAGTCACTGATGCCAAAAAGGACCCTTCATATGCTATGCTAGAATCATACCAATCTACAGAGGAAAAAGCAAACAAAATCAACTTTATGCTTCTTTTCAGAGGTAAACCATACTGAACTACTGAATCTTGGGGGAAAAAAAAGAAATAGAAGTTTCATCAAAAGACATACGGCACATTAAATGTTATGTACACAGTAGTTTTGAAGTTGTTGCAACATATTTTTCTCTAACAAAACTGTAAGAACTGTGGGGTGGCTTTCATCTGTCTTTTAGCTTTTAATTGGTTTTATGTCTCTTTCCTTTATATATAAATATGCATACACCCACACAAAGATTCAAACATACATATGCATACATTCATTTCATTTATAAATATTGATTAATACTCTTAATAATGAAAAAATTCAAGCAGAGATCCTACTCCCGTAATAGTTCTGAAGTCATCTTTTGGATCAATCTGAATTGTCTCGTGGTTCTTTGTAAACACACAGTAGTAAATTACAATATTGTAATAATTGTCATGGTGCTTGATATTTACATCAAAACACTGAAATGTAGCACAATCACAGAAACTTACTTCTGTAGTCATAGGTTGGGAAGCTTGAGTTCTGGATTTCTATGGTACTTCTAACATTGTACTGTATGCAAGTTGCCAAATAATGGTATTTCATTTTAATATAAATAAAATACTGTTTATTTGTAATTGGCTATCCAAGAGAGAATGAAGAAGAAGATGGAAGCAGAAGCAGCAAGTAGACAAGCAGATGTGGATGTGCACTTGGATACCAGACCTCTGGATAGCAAAGGAGCATACAGTACCCAGCACCCTGAAGATCAACAGCTCAGGAAACACTGCCAGGAAAGCTCTGCACTGACTGGGTCATGTCAGATCACAAGATAGTGCTCTCACAAAGGGATGCACAGGAGTTCAGCTCACTATACCTCCTCCTGCTCAGAGCACCAGCAGAAGAAGCAAGCTGGGCAATCTTCAAATTTTCTGTAGGTCAGTTTTACCAAGTCTTTGGAACAGACCCAAATAATTTCCGTGGTTGAAGCTCATTTTGCCTTTGAGACTGACTGTGAAAACCCCACCAAACAGAAACACAATGGTGATGGAGCCTGGGAAGCAGCGGGTGCCAACAATGCCAGACTGGAATGATGAACTCAAGCGGTTTGGCCACTTATAATTCCACAACGGATGGGGATGTTCCGGGAACGAGGAGATGCGCAAGGCTCACAATGGCTTATTCAGCATCCACAAACACTGAATAAAGAGACTCGAAAAAAGAAACACACACAACCACAAAAGCCAAGCCAGGAGAAGCACTGATTCGGGGAATTGTTTTAGAGAGATGAACATGACAACTCAATGGGTATGAAAGGCTGGACCCGGGTGGCAGGAGGTAAGAAAGGATCGTTGCAGTTACGATGCAGCAAAGCTGTCAGTGAGACAAGGACAGACCACGCCGCTGGTGTCAGGAAAATGGAAGAGGATCTTTTCATTGCTGTGGGAAGATCAAGGTGTTAAAATTACATACGTACATACGTCAAGAAGTGAAGACCAATTGCAGGACAGATACAGGAACCTTTAAGCAGCTCCTTTTAGGATTGTATATATGACTTCAGAATGCCTGATCCAAGAAAGCCTGGCAAATGTTTAAGACCTTCCATAGTGCTTTGCAAAAAAAATTAAAATGTTATGTGACTGAGAACACTTTCTGTGACTTCTGATATGTTTGAGGAAGGCCAGTGATGCCACTGGGGAATCTTATGGATGGAATGAAGGGCACAAGTTTGTTGTCCTAATAATCTTCGTACTTGATTGGGCTTAAACAATGAAAGGGTGCTTTTTTCAAAACCACATTTGGAAACAATTTGTTTTGAGCATCTTGGGTCTAACAAATCACTATTGTTTTGAAAACACTCGGGAGAGTGGAATATGTTACAAATTTACATACATATGGTCTGTACTTGAGTTAGAGGGTAACAAAGGTATAATGGGGCTAAACTAGTGTGGAAAAAGAAAAATCTTTAAGAGCAGTCACTGCTTCTTGGTTCTAGCATACTCCCAGAGGCTCAAAGGCCAACAAAGGAGAAGGAAAAAAAAAATAAAAATGTAAAAAACTCATTGCTTATAATAAAACTGCTGCCTGTCTTTATTTTTACAAAAGGTTGTGTGTAAGAAATTTGTATGTACATGAAAAATAACTGAAGTAACTGGGTGGTATTAGAGTATATAATCACTGTTCTTGCAATAGTACTTGAAGACAGCATATGCATCAACATTTGAAATATTTTGCTGGCCTTCCAATCTTTTGCTAAACCTAGTGTGCATTGGAACCTGAGTGAATGAATCCCATTAGTCATCACCATCTTAACAATATGCACTTCATACAGAGTTGGCTTCTGCATAGAGGAAGGAAATTACCAGTAGTAACAAAGGAAAGAAGATTTATAATGAGCAAATATACAAAAGCTCCAAATAATTATAATATTCACAGCTTGGCAATGACTTTCTAGGCTATGAAATTACTTTTCTTTTGGAAGAATGAAGATTCTACAAGGTTAGTATAAACAAAGGGTAATTGGAAAATCAAATTGCTCTACACAAGTTACTGTAAGGCCTGGAATAATGGTGATAGAATTTAAAAAAACAAAAACAACCTTGCTTATGAATCAGTGGGGTGGTTTTTTTTTGTACATTATTGAAATCAAAAATGCTCCCTTTCAAGTGCTACATGGGAAACAAATGGCTGAACACAAATCCCAGCTTACCCCTGATACAATGAGCTCTCCTCCCAGGTTCTGAACTTCTGCCTTCACTTTGCTGCAGATATTGAGCTGGTGGCAGTACAGGGCAATGCGCTGCAGGTAGGCCAGCAGGTCCTGCTTGCAGGCTGAGTCTGGGCACTGCAGACAACACAAATACTGATGAGATGGAGCTGAGCTCATGAGATTGCAGACAGGCAGTCAGAGAGTGGCAGTGTGGGTGTGTTAGGTGGATCTATTCCACTTTGTCTTTACATGAGGTACTAGATTAAGCATGAAAACTCAAATCCTGCCTTTCATTTAGCTCAAGACTTATGAATTGCAACATAAAAATGCACTATACCTTTCTGAAAAATGAGAAACCTCTTTATCAGAATTATGAAAATAATAATTTTAAATTATGCTCTGCATTAATTTATGGGATTGTACTGTACAAAAGGTCAGGTTTTACTTGAAACTCCAGGTTGCCTGCTGGACATCCAAGTTAACATCCAGTTAATGTCCAGATAAATCCATTTCTGAGTGGTTATCCCCACTCTCAGGCCAGACTCTTGCCTGCCTGGCAGCTCCCCTGGCATTTGTGCAGATGTTCAGAGGATTAGATTAGGTCGAATGTGCTGGATGCTGTGAGGGTTTCATAATCAATAGAACTAGAAAGGGCCCCAGTACAATTTATTCATAGTCTCTGGGACTCTTAATAGAAACTGCATTGTTCCTCACAATATCAACAGCATAATAAACAACAGCCTTGTAGTTAATATTCAAAGTCTTGCCTCAGGAGAACAGACCTCAGTAATTCACTCTGATGAAACAGAGCTGAAAGGGTCCACTGCTAGCAGCATGTCTCTCATAAATATTCTTTGGGGTTACCCAGCAAAGCCTAACTGACAATGGTCCTGCATAGCTTGGGGAACAAAAATTCCAAATATGCTTTTTTATCACCTTACAGAGTTTATGCTCAATGAAAAAAAAAATATCAGAGCATTTCAAGAAAAACTGATAGAATTAAATGCACATGAGTCAACAATATCACAGCTCCTGTGATCACTGGTCTGGCCCCAGCAGCTAATGCTGGCATGGAATGTGTTCATGCTGAAGTAGCTGAATATATTGTTACCTATGACCTCAAATGGAATCATTTGGTTTTTTTCTCACTCTTTCAAGTTAATAATAAAGCTGAGGCTTCACTGTGGCTGCTACAGAGCCTCTCTTCCTCAGACAGCTGCAACACCTTTCAGGCATTAATCCCTAAAACACCTCTTCTCCCTACTGCTGCCAATTTAATATAAAAATATTTACTCAGTCCTTGAAGTCTATGAACTGAAAGGAATGAATTTAAAGCAATACTTCTGCAGAGCTGTAAAGGCTTTAAATATAAACACCTTGGAGTGAAAAACGTGTAAGGGCTCTCTCATTGGAACAATAATTAAAAATGCAACTGTCCACAAAAAGTTTACATAGCATGAGGGTCTCCAGAGTTCTGTGAAATATCATTATAGTGCAAGCATTAAAACAAATACTTCATTCTCAAAACAATTTCACTTTTTATTATTAGGGCTACAGTCCTCTGAAACTTCAAATGTGACTCAAGTCAAGGCACTCTAAGCATAACAAGTCTCCTTCTGTTTCTTTCTTTAAAATATTCCACCTCTGCAAATACTGCAGACTAGGAATCTCATCATCTGACAGATGGATTTCTTCTTTCTTGTGGTAAAATGAACAGATGCTACATTTGAAGGACTGGAATGGGTTAACTACAGCAAAAGTGCTTGCTGGTGCTGAAGAAGACCTAAACCCAACATTTGTGAGGTTACAGGAAAATGGGCAGTTTTGGGGTTTTTGCCACTCTGGCCCATATCCCATGGCAGGGTGTGTTAGGAACCATCACACTCTTACTTGAAGAAAAAATGACATTTTTATTTTGAAGAGAAACACTAGAGGCAAGGAAGTTAGTAGTTCCAGCAAATTTCCTCTTGATGACAACGAAATGAAAGAAACTATAGGACATTTACAAAGGGGGAAATAATGAAATTTAATTTGTCTGAATCTAAAATTAGCTATGCAGAACCTGGATTTGAAATTTTGGCTGTTGACACTCCTGACTTTTAATATGGTGCTTCCTCTTGCTCTGCAGATGAACAGATAATCCAATCTGAAAGTATTTATGCAGCAAGGTCATCTGATCAGCTGTGACATGAATTTGGTAAAGGAAGTGAGGACACAGACCCCACAAAATGCACAATACAGTGAAGCAAACCAGAAATTAAGGAGTCAGAGAACCTTGAAGGAGTAAAGTGCCAAATCAAGGGAAAATTGCTGGGAGAATGAGCCAAAAAGAATCTAAGGTTTCCTAGGCATTTGGAAAGGGGAATGGAGCATCCAAATCCCTACTGCTTTTTAACAGCAAATCCATTTTGGATGTGATGATCTCACAGGTCTTTTCCAACCTAAATGAGTCTCTATCTAATTCTAACAGGCCCAGGCTGGCGAGCAAGTCAGGCACTTCTGAGCTTTGGAGAGACTCATTTATGACTTTCTTAAAAAAAAATTTAAAACATTTCTTTTGTTCTGCAAAATGCTGATGTCTAGAGGAAGGAATCAACTTCTATCCAATGGGAAAGTCAGGATCCAGACTCTCAACAGAGAATTTTCTGGCAAGACAGACTTTTCCTGCAAAAGGCCACTCATCTACAGAGGTTATGTTGTTTTTCAGCTCATTTTGGGGCTACCTGATCAGCTACTGCCCGTGCCAATTTGTCCATCCTGGATCCTGCCTCTGCAATCTTCTTGGCTGCATTAATGACATCAGATGTGTTCTTCAGGGGGCCTTTCCCTCTGTGAAACACAAGACAATTACCCACAATCTCAATAAATCACAAAAAGCAACAGTTTTACTGACCCTGTTGAGTGCTCAATTTTAAAATAGTAACACAAATGTCTTCTTAATTTATTACAATTTTGCCTTTTAAGTACTTTATAGTACAGCTTGATTAAGAAATCTGTCTGCTGTATTTCCTCTCCCTTACAAAATGCCTCACTGGCAATTTAGTCTGATGGTGCCTTCAAGCACATGAGCTGTACTTAATAGTATATGCATTTTTAAGTGCTCATTAAGCCAATGTTGTTCCTGGAATCACAACTATTTCAAAATTATGTGATTCCCAAGCCAGTGCTAAATGTTCAGCCCATCATGTCTAGGGCAAGAATGTCACATTTTAGAAAGCCTTTTTTTAGTAGATTTTTTTTTTGGGGGGGGGAAAATAGAGAGAGGTGAAGCATAATCATTATTTTACACACTTGAATGTTACACTTAAAACATGTATAATTAGCTTTAAGCTTGATATTTAAGCCTAATATTTCACTATATTTTTAAGATGATGCACAAAATTCTCACTTTAGTAATTAAAGCTACCAAAATTTATTAAGACAAGAGGTATCCACAGACTTTCTGAGTTTGCTTCAGACTCAAAACTTTAATCCTGCTTGTACCCATAAAATTGCTGCTGCTCCTGAGAAAGTCTCAGCTGGAAGTGAGTTTATTTTCCTTTTTTTTTTTTTTTAATGTGGAAAATCACAAGATGATTTTTTTTTTAAACAATGAAACAGAAGGCATTTTTTCCTAAGTACAACATTGCATTATTTTTGGATTTTTTAAATCTATAATGTCAAGAGTAACATGCTGAAACATATTTCTACTTTAATCTTCTTTCCAGGCTTTCATTACCACCTTAAACAGATGAAATACAAGTGTCTCACTTCTGGTGAACTTAAACTGCAGCAAAAATACTTCTTGGTGACCTCGTGTGCTTCTACATTAATTACATCAGCATCTCTGACTATCACAAACACCATGCATTTGAAAAATAATTCTATTCTAACACTACTGAGGTTAGAGCCAAGCAAAAAGGTGTGAAGGGCTTGTTTCTATTTTAATGGAATATATTAAACAACTTGTTATTGAATCTGATGCAAACAGAGGCGCACTTTGATTTTTATTTACTTCAAACGTGTCAGTAGTTTTTTTATCTCATTCTCAAATTAGTTTTGTCCTTTTGATGCTAGAAAATATAATTATAAAACTTTTAATTTCATGTTCAATATATCAAAGGTTGTGCAAGAGGTTGCAGAAACTCTGCATATCCTGGGCTGTTGCTTTAGGCCATCATTTCGTCCCACCATGATACAATGACACTGTTTGCAGATTTCACTGTATTTTTTCCTGGCAGAAGGATCAGAGACACCAAGACAACACAAGTACAAAAGGAACACATAATTGTGTAAAATATCCTCTCCATCCAGTTCCACCCCCTGCCACTATCCCAGGTTGCTGCAAGCCGAAACCAACTGGCCTTGAACACTTCCAGGGATAGGGCAACACAGGGACGTGAAGAAATGGATGTCTGATTTTAATCCTGAAGAAATCCAGGAAGATTTTCATCCTGTTTCGTGTAATCACATTTTGATAAATACCATTTAAACTTTTGAACCCACTTTAAAAATAATCACTGAACAAAATTTAATTTACTATGGTGATCTGGAATTAAAGAATCTTGTAAACTGTTCTCCCTGGTGTGATTAAAAATATGACCATAGTTAAAGACAATAATTCTGTTTACATTGTATCATTAATGAATGGCCTTTGGACGCTCTGCAATTAGAGAAGAACAAGACATCAACAGACAAAAGAAATGAAAGCAAAAAAAAAAATCATTACTGACAGACTCCAATGAAGCATTAGATCAAACCAGTTTCATTTCATTTGGGATTTTTTTTGGAAGGAAGTTCAGTGTTCAAATGATATAAATAGTTTTGCCATTATTTTTGATTGACACAAATTGTGCTGAAATGTTGAAAGTTCAGAGAGGCACATGCATTTGGATGGGTACTAAACGAAATGTCACTGAGCGTCTGTAAGGTCACAGACTAACTTATCTGCTGAAATACAAAATGATGTGCAAATAAAAGAGACTTGCAAATAGCACAGAAACTTCATGTGATTAATCCCATTTGGACAAATAACAAATTTGTCCAGTGTATATGATCAGCATTCCTTGGCTTTGCATCCCCAAAAACCACAGCAGATCATCTCAAAAGGGTCCAAATCAAGCAGAAAATGGAAGATGTGGCACATCTGAGCTCCTCAGGTGGGGTTGTTTTGACCTTACCTGGTGAAATCTGTCATTTCCATCATAATCATGCACATCTGCTTGGCCAGCACAATGATGTCATTGCCACTGTCATCCCACTTGGCCACCTCTGCATCCAGCTTGCTCTTTTCTTGGTGGAATATTTCCACCTGCTCAGCAATCTTTGCCTTCTCCTCCTGGGGCAGCTGAGCCATGATAGCCTGGAGAAACAACAGGAGCTGGGCATGAACAAAAGGAAGCTACAAGCTTGATTTTTCCAGTGGTCCCAACAGCTTGAGTTTCTTTTTATGGGAGTTGAAGATGCCAAGCAAAATCTTGTAGGCATTTGATTTCTGTCAGGACAGGCAAAAGCACAATCACAGCATGTTTATGCCTCTTCTTGCACTTTCAAGATGATAAAATTTATATTTATGATGCTGTCATTATTCACCAGTTGACAAAGGAGGATTAAATCTCAATTATGAGGAAGAATAAAATGAGTGACATTTATGGGAAAAGGCAGACTGAATTGCTGTGTCTCCCTTAGTCTCATCCTCTGCCAGAAATAGAGGATTTCAGATTAACACAACACTAAAGTAAACTATGACACACAAGAAAATACATTTGAAGTGAATTGTAACAAACGTATCTTTTTAATGATATTTAGTGCTCTCATTTTCTCCTGGAAGAGATGCAAAAAGGCACTGAACAGGTTGGTGCTGCTCTGCCTCAGTATGAACAAAGCACAAAGTTCCTGCCCCCTCCAAAGAAACCCTAAAAAATCATAATAATTACTTTTGAAGATCAATGGATACTTTGAATAATGATTTCCAAGTTAAGCTACTATTTGGCTCTAGGGGTTCTGAAGACCACATTATGCATTTAATGGGGTGTGACACATACTTAAGTGTCATTACATTTTTTTCTTGTTTATGTCACTTTCAATCAGCTGAAGTCTTTTTCTACATATTTTTAAAATGCTCTTGGCTTCTAAAAATTCGTAATTGACCTTTTCCAAAACTGAAATTAAAAAGGGTTATACACAGTAGATCAGAAAATGAGAAATTTGCAAGTTAATCAAATTAAAATTCAAGACAAGTTTTAATTAGGCCTTATCAATGTAACTCAGCAGTTTCAAATGTTAGCATAATAGTCTTTGCAGAGAAAAATGAAGTGTAAGTCAAGCTAATAAATAAATAAATAAAATTCACATTAAACAACAGAACTGAGGAATTAACTGAAGTTAAGAGAATGTGATAGGAGTAATGAAATTTGGGAAGTTTATCTGGCTTGCCTGTGGTTTCTTCAAGTGGCAGCTTCACCTGAACACTCTTTAAACAGGTAAACAGTGCTTTAATATTTGTGTTCCAGCTGCTGATGTGCTTTCAAAGCAGTCACATCCCATAGCAAATGCAGCCCATAAATTCCAGTTTTATTTCTACTGAAGACCAACACAAGTCTTTCTACTGAAACACTAACAGCCTTATGGAGTCAGCATATTAAACAAATCCATTACATTGCACAAATAAAAGTGTTTTGCATCTTTTCCACAGAAAAGGTTCAGATAAAATTCTATTTTGCTTAGCACTCCAGACTGGGGACTGGGAAGCTTCTGCTTAGCATGTTTCCTTTTTAGGTTTTTATGATTGTTCCTTCCTGTGCCACACTGCAAGCTATGTTATTCAGGAACTGTCTTTATGATATATTATGTTTATACAGTGTGTAGCTGATCAAAGCAGAAGGTTTTAAGTGCAGCAGTAATAATAACCACAATAAATGTAATAGAATTTAAGACTCCTAAATCCCCAGGTGAACTCAATTCTTAGTAAGAAAAATTACTGCAGTCTTTACTAGGGTTTCAGATCAAGAAAGAATGACATGCTACCCTGTCCTAAATGTAACCAAAAAGATGAGAAAGGCTGTGAAATCTGACAAAATAATCTGTGATGTATCTCATTTCTGTTATACCTGAGATTTGCTTCAGAAGTCAATAGTTTGAATATTTCAAACAGGACTTTATGCCCTTTAAAATATAAAATATTAAAATACAAAAAAATCACAAAAGATAGTCAACTACATCCAGAACAGTTCTGTCACCAGTCACACAGTAAGGAATGCAGGTATTTTTTGCCTTAGAGATGTCATGATAAAACTCCAGTTTTCCTGATATATGCTATGGTTTATTTACCATCTATATTCAAGATTCAGGGAAATAATTTTAAGACAAAAAGAAATCTCTGCCCATTCCACTGGATCCATGCCTTGCATTTCTCCCACACCTTTGAGTGAGCTTCTTTCAGATTTTTGTTACTCTGCTGTTTCTTTTCAGGGTGTAAAACCTTTGTGTCAAGCCCCATCCTATAGCAGCTGAAAACTCCTCTGTCCTGGTCCTCTGAGCTTTTGCAGCATCTTTGTCTGTTGGTCTTTAGGTTCTCAGCCCTACAAATCCTCTTCCAAACTCCAAGGTAAGAAATCCCCATTCCAGTTACCAACTTTTGCTGGTTTTTGAGTGTGTGGCTAGGATATTTTTTATTTAGTCCACAGCTTCACTTCTATCACATCAGAACAAACCAGATTTGTGTCAAACAGCCATGAAAATAATTCAGATAATTCCCAGTTTCCCACTGGTCCTCTCCTGGAAAATGTTAAAAGGCTTTTCTTTTAAAAATCCTGTCTTTCCAGTCAAATATCTTTTTATGATTCATAAAACTAGATTCTGATTTCTTTTTTTTTTTAATAATCTGAGAAGCCTATTGAGTAAAAGGTAAACATTCATCAGAGGGTGGCATAATCCTGAGTGTTAACAGAAATATTCCTGAGTGTTAACAGACTTCACTTCCCCAGCACCTGTGACCCCCAAAGCACTCATCAGCTTAATTTGCAATCCCCATGCACAAGCTGGGGCTGCAAATCACAGTGACTGGAGTTTATCATGATGTAATTACCCTGGTAAAATTACATTGACTCAGTAGCAAATGTCTTCAATTACAATTAAATTACAGGGACTACTCAGTAGCTTAAACAGATCTTCTTGACAGGTTTGCACACTGGGAAACATGACTAATGTAAGATTTCTCTGGATACAGCACATGGTGCCCTGATGAGATTTTTTTTTATTTTTTTAATTTGCTGACTACTCCCACAGTTTCAGCACATTCCAAACCTGCAAAGCCTTCTCTCACTGCACTAGCTGGAGCAAGCAGCTGATACTAGGCACCACAAAAGCCTCAAGATCATTCAATAAATGCTACTTAAATAGGTTTGAAACGAAAAAAACTTCAACACCTCTGTCAGCCTGCTCCTATCCTTTCTTAAACAGACATGAGGGCTGGAAATCACTGCCTTTGCTTTCTGAGGCAGAGATTTTATTGATCACTGCTGGACACTCACTGGAGGCACGTGGGGTTTGTACTCACCCTTGCACTCTGGCCAGCAATGAGCTGGTCATCCTCAGTCTGGACACTCGTTCTGCTGCGCACATCATAATCCTCCTGCTCGAAGTCTGAGTCATCCTCGAGCTCCTCAGGGGTCTGGAGAGAGAGACACACGGGAGAGAAAACCACAGAGAGGAGATGACAAGCTTAAAAAGGACACAGACCAAGTCCTGTGCACAGTGAGCTCTTATTTCATTGACTACCTGCCCAGGAAATGCTGTTCTGCTCTCCTCTGAAATGAATTTGTCTGCCCCAGCAGTCATGAACTGAAATTGAATTGTCTTAAAAATTAAATTGCTCCAACCCTAGTTTTCTTTACAAATGGCATTTGTCATTACCTTGCCACAACTTTTCTTGCTGCAATTTCTCTTAACTCTGTTAACATGATGAATGCAGTTCCAGGAACAAATATCCTTTAGAAACACTAACAACTGGAAAGCACTATTTCAAAATAATGTTATTTCATATATAAATGGACACTAACACTATTATGTTACTGGAAACTACATGTAATCTTTAAAAGAGAAAGTAAATATCTGGGAAAAAAGCGACTAACATCCTGGAAGAAAAATTTATCAAAGCAAATGAGAGATTTCCCATTGAAAGAAATTGTAAATGATGTCAACTGGTTTTGAAACAAACATGAAATTTATAATCTGTGTGATCTTGTTAGTTCACATGGTACTTTTCATATACAGAGCTTTGGAATTTGACTCATCCCCCAGCTGAGACCATGACCACCATTGCTGGTGCTACAAATGATGAGAGCGTTTCTTGGAAGATTGATTAAATCAAGTTACATATTTTCAAGCTTCAGGTTGTTTAAAATGTTGTAAGGAAGGAGAAAAAAAAATGGATGGACCTGTTCATTTGGGTTTTTTCACCTTCTAGCAAAAAGTTCAGAGAAAAAATGTCCTTATTTATATACAGAGAGACAGACATTAAAATCACTACTTAGTACAATATTTAATATAGATGGTGTAAAAAAATGGAATCTTTAGAAGGAAAGTTATATTCCATTTTATGATTGAATAGTATCTGGTACAACAGCCTGGCCATAAGCAAATTCTGCGAGTACCATACATGACAAAGGTAATAGGAAAAGAAAACCACAGTAACTGCAGAGAAATCCCCACCTTACTGGACACCCATCACCACCAGTGACAGCCTAGAAGGCCAAAGGACTATGGAAGAAATCATCCAGGCTGGCATTTGGTGCTTGGAGGCAACGTCAAGTCTTTTAGCAGAGGTGCTAATCACTGCCAGTTGTCATTACAGCTCTGTCTGGAGGATGCTCAGACACCAGGAATGGCTCCAAAGCCTCTAAGGAATGCAGAGGAGTCTCCTGGCGAGATTTCTGCTCCAGCCTGGCTTCCAACACCAAGTGCACATCACTGTTTGTAGCTGCATGGTGAAGTGCACAGGATGGGGAGAGTAAAACACAGCCATCTTCATCTGACTGGAAGAGCATGAATTAAATATGGGTTTAGTGCTGAGTGCTGGAGGAAGAAATAACCAAGTGTGACAGTGTGGTAATGAAACTCGGGCTGCACCTCTGAAGAGAAGCATGCACAAAGAGTGTGTGGAACAGCAGAGGCAGGACAAGAAGTTTAGATGAAAAATGAATTTACCTTCTCTCTACTGTCACAGGAAAAATAGAAGGATTGGTACCCATCATTATAATGACCAATGGTCTTGCTCTCCAATCACCTTTAATCTCTTTGTTCCCTCTGCTCAGCTGCCCGAGGGCAGCATGAGACCTCAAAATCTGTCATAAAAAAGCAAGCTACAAAGAGAATCCCACAACTCCCTGAGCAAAGAGTATTTTCTATCACAAGGCTCAGCTTTTCATCTGCCTAGGCTTTGCTGTTTAGGACAAGAACAGGGTGGAGAGCTTCAATAAACCAGCTGGCTCTTCCCCATCCTCCAAGTCCACTCAACGAGCCAGTTTCACTGGTCATTGTAAAGCCAGTACCCTTTCACACCCCAAATATACTCCTCTTAGTTTCTTCTGTCTCCACTTTGATAAATAAGATTATAAAACATAATGTGCAGTCCTTTCCAAGGCTTTCCTAGTCAGACTTGAAGTAAAGATGCAATATTCAAGATATTACATCTCAACATGGTAACATGAGGCTGCCTCTTAAAAAGAAAAAAAAAAAAGTCTGAAAGTTCTATGCAAGGACTTATTGAAGAAATATCCAGAAAAAAAAAAATGTATTGCTGTTACTGTCTGACATTCATGATCTTAAAGCCTGTGGTCTTTAAAAGACTGAAATTTAATGGGTATAAATGTTGAACTTGGAGAAAATGTAGTGCAAACCAAAAGGGCAAGTAATGCAGCTGTTAGCAGTATACTACAAACACAAGACATCTTCCTATTTCCCCTCTGTACAAGTGAGATCTAATTCAAAGTGATCTTTCATATTCACTCTTTTCATGTTTTCAAGTGTGGTGAATTTTACACTCTCATTTCCTTCCCCAAACAGCTGCATTCTGCATTAGGGTGAAGAAGTGGGGTTAACTTTTATCTGTATGCTGCCATTTCAAACATTTTCATGCTTTTCACCATTGCACCACTGCTTTATCCTAGCTGATCCCCTGGAGATGCAGTCCATATAAAACAGACTCTCCCTTTTCTTTAGACACAAAGATACAAAAAAAAATTATATTGAATTTGACTTAAAGGATTACTCTTAGCAAGGCCTTCTAAACATACCAAAACAACTCTAATTTTTGTGTACTACTAATAGGACCTTGATATTTAAAACCTTGTTTCCAAGACAACAGAGTCTGAGACTTCATTTCTCTGAGCTGGAAGACAGAAAGACTGATTCTGTCTTGCAGACACCTGGATTTATGGTTACACAAACGTAGGAATCACAGATCTGAGGTTGGAGACAGCTTCCAAACAGAGCTGACAGCCACCAGTGGCAGAAGTAGCTAGAGTAATATAAAAAACTAATGGATTTTATGCACTGATTGATTTCAGCAGAAAAATGGACCGTTTTCATAATTTTTAATCTGTTTTGTAGCACAAGCCATAAGACTTCCCAAGACTTCGTTTTTTTTTTTCAAATACTGTATCTCCACTACACACAAAATTCATCTAACTCAGAGGAAGTCTTCCAGTGAAGAAGAATCTCTCACAATCCCAGATAAATCACACAATAAATATATGCTTGCTTGTTTAAGATGCATGTTTTATTTCTAATATGAATGTGGTGACTTTAAACTTCTAGGCATTGGAATATATCTCTTTTTTTTAAATATCTCTCTGGCTGTTTGACTGAAGAGCTTGCTGTGAACAAAATATCTTCCATCTATGTAATTTTTTTCTTTTGTGACTGCAATATGAAAATATGAATTATACAAGTATAAGTAGTACAATGGCATATAGATGCAGATTTATAAATGCTATTTGTTTCATATTTCACCAACTCAAATGTACTTGATGAAGATAGAAACCCCACTTCACTATGCACTTAAAAATCGTAAGATGCAATTACAAAATTTCATCATTGTGAACATCAAGTCAAGCTAACCTTGTAAAGAGAGCAAAGAATGAAGGGATGAAAAGATAACTCCCCTATTTTTTACAATGAAATTTCCCTCTAATTCTAAAAGAAAAGGAAAAAAAACCCCAGACTTTACAAGATGTTTTTAAATCCAACTCCACGCTATTCTGTACATTTGTTTTGGAACCACTGCAGCCTGAGTGACTCAGCTGCAAGCAGCACCGGAGTGTCTCATTCAGAGAACCTCTCTCACTGCAGGTCTTCAGTTATTTGGTGATTTACAGTAAAATCTAACACTTCAAATTCAAGCTGAGGAACAGCAGGCACTCAATGGAAACACTGGACCCCACAACACCCTTTGGAGACAGGATGTTCCAAAAGATCTTTTGGGATTCTGCACCAAATCTGGTTTTACAGAGGACTTGGAATGTTGCAGCACTTTGGATTTCACCACAGTGGCTGCCCCAGAGGTGATGGTGGCTAAACCTGACAAGTCTGGCAGAGGAGAAGAGCATTAAAACACCCAAACAGCTGGGGCTGAGGACCCCACAGTCATTTTTGCTGAGGTCTTCTCCCAAGGACTAAATTCCTTAATGACAGAGTAGAATAGAAATGGAGTTAATAATAGAATAAAATATCCCAAATTGGAAGGAACTCACAAGGACCATCAAAGTCCAGCTGCTGGTCCTGCACAGGACATCCCCAAGAGTCACAACTTGTTCCTAAGAGCATTATCCAAATGCTTCCTGAAGTATGTCAGGCTTGGTGTGAGAGACTGAAATGGTTCATGGCTTAAACACTGTTAAAAAAGGACTTTGCCATTGTGGCAAAATTGTATAAAGAAGCCGTGACCATCAAAGCCCTGTTCAAATGTGCCTCCTGAGGGGAACTGCTCTGTGAGCTAAGCCACCTGATGGGAACTTGAGCAAAGGCAAAGGTGGTTCTATAGCCCAGGTTTAAGAGAGGTGTAAGGAGAGCTACACAGGGCTGGGGGAGAAGAATCAGCTCTGGCTTGGTTTGATGGGGGGGAGGAGATTTTGGGTGTGTGACAGAAGGAGTGAACACCCACCCTGCCTTACACAAACTGGCTCAGTTGTAAAATCCACCCACCCTGGGACATTCACGTGAGTAGCAGCAGAGGAGAGATCATAAACCATCACAAAACCATCAAAGACCCCCAAAACACCCCCAGACTCATTGCTGAGGCCTTGCAGCACAGAACTGCAAGGGCTGCAAAGTGATGCCACAGATCCAGAGTTTGCTGCAACAGAGAGATTCAAACCTGCCCCCCCAGGGGAGACACCAGGCATTCCCAGCTGGCTCAAACACACATTAATCCACTCAGCTCTGTGTTTTGTGGGACTCTCACCACTGAGAAGACCAGAAGAAGAGGATCAATGAGATGCTGTCAGGATGCACAAAGTGGTGATATTTTCTGCTTAATCTGTCTGTCACTCTCTTTCTCTCCCATCCCGCCTCTTTTTTTTTTCTTTCTCTCTCTATATCACCCTACTGTTAAATAAAATCCATACTATCAATTTCAGCATATGGTCTTGTTTGCACCTTAATTCAGGCAGAGGCATCTCTCTAACCATTTTAATAACCAGATCTTAACACCTGGTGCTGTGACTGCTGCCCTGGGGACCCTATTCCAGTGTCCAACCACCCTCGGGGGGAAGAACCTTTTCCTGATATCCAGCCTAAACCTCCCCTGACACAGCTCCAGCCATTCTCTCAGGTCATAAGAGGCTCCCAGAGAGCATCTCCAGGCATCACCCCGAAGAATCAGGTTTACAGATGTTTACAATCGAGTCTGTAACATGGACTAAAACATGGCAAGAAGGAACATCTGGACGTTGGCTCCAACAGTGCACTCCTGATCCAAGCAAATGGAACACTCAGGTTGATGTAGATGCCTCCCAAGGCCAGGTTGCTAATGGCAAAGGCCATGTTTAAAACCAGCAAGTAACAGTAAATTGGCCTCGGAGACACATTAGAATGAGAAAAGGTGCCATTGTGAGTCCTCCTGACTGTAGAGAGGGTTTCTGGCCAATAAGGGAATTTCCTAAGCAGCTATGAAAACACAAAGTACAATTTCATCCCTACACAGTAATAGAAAAGGTGTTGGAATTAAGTTATTATTTTCTATTTTATTTCTAGGTTCTATAATTATCATCTTTAAAATTAATTTATACTACTTCTTAACTTGTGGAAGAGATCTTTTTCTTCTGTATAGATAATAATAATAGTCCTGAATGAAAAAATGAGTCTCCTTTCTCCTCCGGAGGGACAGTAAATTCTCCTCTTTTGAGGGAAAGAGACAAGAACAGAGACTATCCACCCTTTCCTTCAGCTTACTAAAAGTAATAATACCAACCAAAATTAATTTTAAAAGTGGCTTTCTTTACTCTCTGGAATGAGGGGACTCATCTCAGATAAACTCAATCTATCACGGCTTGCACACGAACAATCACTGCCTGAAAATAATTGTGTCAGATGCTCTAGAAAGTTTGCAAGATTGGATTTTTTTCCTTTTTTGTAATTCTGAAAAAGTTTTACCACCTGAATTAAAGGGTACATAATATTTGATAGATTATTAGATGAAAATATTCTAAAGGCTTTTATAGCCTCACCCTTTAATTATACATCCCATTTCAGTGTGAGATGTTCAGATGGAAATATTAAAGAATATCTCAAAGTGAAACTAATTTTGTTTTCTACAGTAAATAAGGTTCTGATTCAGCAAACTCTGGTCTGTGTAAGCTTATATATGTGGATTTTTCCAGTTAACTCACATGGATAATGAGTCCATTTATGTGCTTTAGTTCTCTGCCTGGGTAAGGAGTATTACATTGAGCTCCATAAATAAGTTAATTGTCTGAAGGCAAAAATAAATCTTCCTAATCTGGGCAAACAGAATTCATTAACTCATATTATACAATGGGTGGAGAGCAGCAGTGAGATAATAACCAAAAAAACTTGGGATTTTCCTAGGGAGACTGAGAAGCCTGAATGCTGATCAGCTGTCCAGGTACACAGAACAGTCAGGCAGCAACAAAGTAAGTGAACGGGCCTTCAAAATTCCAAATTTAAAATTAGAAACATCTTTCCAGGATGGACATCTCATGGCAAACTCTTGGGGGTAACTCTGATGTACAGGGGGGTGCTGGATGCTGGATCTCTATGTAGGGGATGGGAAAACCTGGGTTTGTAGGAGATCCCACTTGATGATTGAGTCTGTGACACAATCACAATTTGAAGTGACTAGAAAAGATGTGCTAAACAGTTGTTCTTCTCCTAAGAAAAGTTTGGAAACTTCTTACAGACTAAGGAACTGGAAAATCAAAGGGAAAACAGAGATCCTTTACTATGCAGATCCTTCATTTCCCACAATCATAGAATGCTGGAATGGTTTGGGTGGAAGGGACCTTGAATCCCATCCAGTTCAACTCTCTGCCATGAGCAGGGACACCTTCCACTGTCCCTGGTTGCTCCAAGCCCCATCCAACCTGGCCTTGGACACTGCCAGGGATCCAGGGGCAGCCACAGCTTCTCTGGGCACCCTGTGCCAGGGCCTGCCACCCTCACAGGGAAGTAATCCAGGTAAAGATTTCTCTCCCCTTGCAGAAGAGCTGCCAATCCTCTAACACTGCACACACAGAGAACAGGGTGGGTTTGCCCCATCACAAGCCATGACTATAATTCAGACCACCTGGGATGAGCACTGGGTATGAGAATGGAATTTATGTTTGGCAGTTATAAAATTAAGCCTGTCAAAAGCTTTTTCTGTAAATGTTAATACACAGTGACAGATGACTGAAATGGAGTTATTTTGGAGTGTTCCAACTGCCTGAAGTCTTACATCAGTGCCATAATACGCTCACGACCACAAGTGCATGTTACCTGTTTGCTCAAAGGGATCAGTTGATGTTTCAGCCCTGTTACTCGCCTCAAAAGTCTTTGTGATTTTCTCCACAGCTTTACTCGCACATGGCTTTCATTAGGGCAGATTCAAGGTAATTTGGGTTTCAAATAACAGTTTCAGTTGCTGAAGAAATGTCCAAACAAGTTCTGGTTTGCTGCTTCTCTTTTTTAAATCTTTGTCTGCTAACTAAAGTGAAAAGCAACACACACCTACTATCACAATAATGATGTTCTGTGGTGTCTTTTATTTGTTTATTTTATTAAAAGATGTCTAAGCAAATTGAATCAACTGGTTAGTCAACACTGAAATGACACATTTTTTACCTCGGTAAATGTTCAAAACCATCCCTGCAGTGGCTCACAGGAGCAGCAAGATAATTTATTCATTTAGATTTTAACCTACCTCACATCCCAGGCAGCACATAGGGGAAAAAAACCCAAATAAACAAAACAACAGAAAATCTACACAAACTTTGAAGACCTTGGCAAATGAATGCTATTTCTATAGAAACAGTAATGAAGTTTTCATCTATTGGCAGTTGTGATCAAGTCTTCTCCTAGCTGATTAACATACTAATTGTGATTCATCTACTAAACAACCTCATCTCTTTATTTGCTAACTCTTTTGTTGTTGCATATACTTCCGTTCCATTCCTGTTCCAATGCCAAGCTTTCCCAGCAGATTACAACACAATGCTGATTCCAAGGAGCTTTTATATTCCTCTTTCCCATGACACCTCCCTGCAAATCCCAGCTTTCCCTGCCCGGGTGCTTTTACATACCCTGATCATCAGGACAGCTTTCCTGATGTCCCGGACGCCGTCGTACACCAGGCGGGAGGCGTCGATGAACTCGTTCTCCTCGAAGGGCTGGGGCACGTTGGCACTCAGGGCTTCAATGGCCACCTCCACTTGCTCAGCAAAACGTGGCATCACTGGGTTAGACACAAGCAGAGGCAGCAGGATCAGACACCTTCTCTCCTGAACCCTTTCCTGCTGCTCGTGGGTCATTTCCAGGAGACACAGCACACGCTGTCCTGAAATTCCCCCGCACAGGGAGGCTCATGGATGGGTTTGTACCCACCCTGCACTGGCACTTTATCTGTCAGCATAGAAATAACCATCTCTATATTCTCTCCTCCAAGTGTGCAACAAAGAATAGAATATTTCCTTCAAAAATTGTGATTTACTAGCTTTTAAAAGGCTGCAAGACACCTGAGCAGTCAGTAAAGTTCATTTAAGAGCTTTACAAACTTTAATGAGAACAGCTAATATTTGTATCAAGAGATCAAAGCAAACTGTAGCCATTATGCCTGCTAATTTACATAATTTACACTCTAGCTCATATTAAATAATAATAATTTCATAAGGGACAAAATGCAAAATCAAGGAACATAGTTTTGTGAAGACACCTAAATGAATCCTTATAACTTCTTCACTATCACCATGTATATAACACAAAACATAGCCATAGATATTGGCTAAAAATATTACAAATTGTGTTATGAACTTATTTAATATACAACTGAAAGCAAATATTTACTTTTGTAAATGGTTTCAGGGCATTGCTTGAAGAAGCAAGAGAGTTTTTTCAAATTTTGTAGAGGTTTCCTTTGAAGGTATAATCATTTTCTGCACATCATGCTTTCAGGAAAATAACTCTTCCCCAAATCAGTCCTCTAACAACTCAAATCCAAATCCTACAAACATGAACATCAGGTCCCACTGATTATAATGCACCTACATTCCTGTACTTGTTTACTCCTCTTCATAATTTTAACATTAATATTGGAAGACTGTGCTCATAGAAGACAAACATAATCAATGTTTCATTAGAAACCTGGATAAAAAATTGCAGTTGGATTAATTCTTAAGAATTTAAGGAACTTGGGTCGAGTTTAAGATTTACAGACAGCCATCTTTTCATCATATTCACATTATTTTTATTCTAAGATTTAGGTATCCAAATCATGTATCACTGACTTTACCATTTTGGCAATAGAATTAGAAGAACAGGAAATGATGATTCCCACAACAATTATTGCCTTTTGTTTTGTTGTTAAAATATTAGCTTTTTTGCCTACCTTTTCCCTAAACCCTATGTTTAATACACTTATTGGTAACCTGAACCCAACTGATGAATACAAAGGAGAATTTCCAGTGTTATTTTCATCAAGAGCAGTGACATTCTTTCCCAGGAACGTCCTCTGTGATAGGAAATCACATTTAGTTCTTGACTGAATGTTCTTAAAATTATATTATAGTATCTGACTTAAAGTAAAGCCACAAAAAACATGATTTAAGAATAGTTTACATTTTGAAGAAGTGGCAGCAACCACAGGCTCAAACTTTCTGGTTTTGGCATTTAAATATTATGCATTGGATGCAAATGAGGAAACCTTTAAAGGGATATAGTGATTCAAATCTTATTTATACATCATATATATATATATATATATATTCATATAGACAGATGAAAGAACAGATTTGTATTTTCCATGCAGATAATGTTCCTGGGATACACTGGAGAAACAGGAAAAAGTGACAGCAACAATAAACTTTAAAAAAGTAAACATTAACAAAACATTACCAGGCAGAGGGGAAACATTTTAATTAGAAAAGGAGTTTGAGAGAGATGGAAGTTTTGGAAAGAGTATTTAATAAATTCATATATCAAATTACCTTAATTAATAGAACACTTGAAAGTGTAGTAGGAGACTAATATGATTGCATAAGGAAGTCTCAAGCCTGAATATCAAAAAGCAATCATTAAAAATACAATGTAAACAAATAAACCTAAAGAATAAAAGAGAAATTATTTCGGGTTGTTGGGATAAAACAAGTAAAACTAGAAAGTAAAACTAGAGATGCAATAATGACAACAATTAAAAAAAAAAAAAAAAGGAAGTAAAGAACCCAAATATTTAGGGTTAAATTAAATTTAACCTTAAATGTTTGTCTAAAATTTCCTAATTAGCAGAAGTGATCATGTATTGGATATAATTAATAGTAGGTGCAACAGGCCTGAATTAAGAACAGGCAGTCTGAAGAACATCTAAGTAAGCATAAGGAAATTTATCTTTTACAAATGTGTTCATGTCAAGAGAGTATGGTGAAATTTACCCTGTAGTTCTTAAGAAAAAAATCAAAGCAATTTCTGAACCATCTTTGAGAACTCAAAAAAACTGTAATGGTGAAAATTCTAGGGATTTGGGAAAAAAAAAAAGCCACTTGTCTATTTTAGATAAAAATATATAATCTTTATATAAAGGTTCATGTAAAGGTAGAGAAGAAAGGAAGGAAGACTTATACTATATTCAACATAATTTCAGTACCAAGAAATAAAATTAAACATGATGTGGAGCAATTAATGTTTAATTATCTGTAAATAATCAGCAGATGCTGGACAGGCACCAGATGTGTGGAAATAAGTTGCAGCAAGCTTTTACAATATTTCCCTTGACAGGGCAGTGACAGAGGGGGAAGCAGATATGACACAGCTGGACTTTGTCATGGCCACGTGTGACATTAATAGAATAAAACAAGGGATATTTAAATTAAATGGTTGTAAGGTGGAAAGTTACACTTCATTCATATTCCTGAACATGAGGTATTAATTCCTGACCACATTTATTACCTCTACTGGGTGTGGAAGCTTTTCTAATCATTTCTGATTTTGCAGACCTGGCTATAATTTAGTCCCTAATTTACATTACTACACGTGAACATTATCTGCTGTTTCAAAATGGGAATAGATATTAAACTGCTTTATGAATTCCTTGCTTGCTTGCAATCGTATTTTTACATCAGTGCTCACTTTTGATTGGACAAGCAAGAAAAAAACACCTTTAATAGGGGGCTATTACTTATTGCTTCTCTAAGCATATGTTGTCATTTAATGCACTCAAGTCTTTGAAAATCGAAAATTGAGTTGAGAAACGTATTATTCTCCATTTAAGGTTATTAAGCTCCATGGAAAAAAAAAAAAAAACAAAAACCTCCAGTCTTTCTTCTCTATTATTTACCACTCAAAGAAGGATATTCCTGTGCCAAAGGTCAAAACACCACAAGTAAAATTCAGGCAAAGGCATGCATTTCAATCTGGAGTTAAAACTTGTAAATGCATCAGACAGAGAATGATTCCTTTATTATGCACAGAAAAATTGGCCATGAATTTTAGATTCAGAAGCAAATCAATCCTTCTGGGGAAAAATTAAACATTGGTTTCTTAGTTTGAGCTGTGGCCTTGAAAGCAGTCACACATATGCTTAGACTGAAAAATGTGGTCCATTAACATCTCTCAGCCTAACTACATGAATTAATTAGGCACCTGCATAAATGTTGACAGAATCAGGTCCCAAGTTAATGGCAACACTTCTAATTCACTGACTTTGTCATTCCAACAAAACAAAGATTTTAAAGCCTTTCTATGGATGAGTTTCCAATGGCATTGAAAGCAAGACCAATGCCAACAAAATCGAGGTTGAATGGCTGCTGGAGAAAAATGGAAATCAGCAAAGCTGAAATTACTTCAATTTTATCAATTGATTAATTTTTTTAAATTATACTTTTTTTTTTTTTTGCTATCATCATAACAGGAAACCAGTACATGACCATGTGTGAATTCATGCCTTGTATTTTTTTTGTGAACCACCCTGTTCTACAAATAAAATATTTTCTCTAAAGCTCTTGTTTTTTCTCCCACCCACCCATATCTCCTATATCATAAGTAATTATCTGTTTTCTAAAAATATATTCCCTGTTGACTTCTTCTCCCGTGGCAATCAGTTTGTACTGCAATTTTTGTACTTAGAAACATTACTGCAAATTTTGTTTAGTGACATGGGAACAATAAGATCCCTGATAGACATAGAAATGCTAGGTTACATAATAAAATTATTGAGATAGAAATTAAAAAAATGTTTGGGCGTTCTCGTTCATAGCATTAGAACAAAAAGTTTCATTAATATGCAAGATTAAATGAATGCCTTGCTGATTTATTGGACTTTTATGGCTTTATTATTTAGGAACTAGAATTCCTCAGAATCTTAAGTAGATGTGAATGCTCAGAAATGTAGAAAGGGATAATTAAGACACAAAAAAAGCAATAAAGGTCAAGGACCCCTCAGGTGCATGGGTTTCTAATTCTTAGTTGTATCAATGGGAGTCAGGAAATTTGGTCTGGTTTTGTCTCACATCATACAACTGAAAGTTTTAAATCTCTTTCCTTGTATCAGGCAAAGAACAGTAGATGCTTCCATGAGACAATTAATCACACCTACCCTACTTTAAATACTCAGGTTCAGCTGGAAAAAAATTCTGATTTTCCTGTGCCCACTAAACAGAGAGGGAGGTGTTTGGCTTAGGCCAGGCGTCTGCTTTAGACAACCAAGTTTAGGCATAAATCAACCCCATTTGTGCACAATCCTGGCACATTTTTGGCTCTGAATCAGCCTGAGCACAACGTGGCTCCTTTCCATTCCAATCTCACTGGAACTGAAGAGTTCCCAGGGGCCTCATCTCTGGGGCATTGTTGAAAGGCACCAGCAGAGCTTTTTCTTAGAGCTTCATTTTGAAAAGATGAGCACCTATTAGACTCTTTAGAATCCAGGGATTTGGGTCCAAGGGAAGCACCCTTCTCAAAGAGCAGGGGTTGTTCCCTAGAGCCAGACTGTCCTCAGACAAATCAGATATTTGAGCTGCAGAGAAGTGACTGCTCTCCTGTACCCACTGCACCCAGCTGTGCCCTCGGGCTGGCCCTCAAAGCTCTGTATTCGTTCAAGGATTTGTACCTGTCCTTATGAAAACTGATTTTCCCTACACCATGTTCATAGAGACACATCATTTAAAGTGCCAATCACATTATCTACATGGCCCTTAAAAATGGCTGTAAAAATCTGGTCAGTTGTGGGTAAGATTATTCAAGGATGACATG